TTTTTTTTCTTTGTTATCGTTGATGCGTCGGAGTGAAATTAGAAAAAAAATAGACGTTGTAGATTTCGGTATTTGTGTTGTGGTATCGAGGAAAGAGAGAGGAGATGGCCGATTGATTGGCGAGGATCTCGTGTATAGAGCTGTGTATCGAACGAAATCGAGGCGAGGCCACGCATCGATCCAATATTAATCTGCTTCGGTGTATCCCGGTAAGATTTTCAATCATCTATAGGGTCAAATTAATAAGGCTTCTTCGCTCGCGCAGAGGCTATAGTGTGTAGTGCGTCACTTTCAGCGGGTGGTCGACCGAAGTACTTGGATTTATTGTAATATCGAATTCGATTCGTGTATATAATCTACGTAAGACGAAATTCGGCCAGTTTAGAAATTGTAAGAGTTAAACATATTCAATTATCGATATTCTTTGGTTTAACGACCCCATAAAAGGTATTTAAAATGTTTTAAAATAAATTATTATTAATCGGCGTATTTTTAGCGATTTTTCAATAAAAAATTTAAACCTCTAAAGCACGATAATCTACGATAAAATATGGCCTTCGCCGCTAGATGGCGAATACCTCTGTATCTGTAAATCTGCAAGCTGTAAAGTTCAAATAATTGTATAAGTATTTAATAATTGTATAAACTATAAACATTTTAGCGTGAATGAACTTGATCATAGAAATTCGTTTGCAGTAATCTCAAAACATCTGTACTTCGTGTTATGATTCGACAATCATGTTACAACTATTGAGCGGAGTTCAATTGCCTTTAATTGTTTCCGAAAATTGAATCGATACGAGGTTTCAATCATATTGAAAATGAAATATCACCTGAATCCTTCGCCACTAAATGGTGAGTATCTTTATCCACGAATCCGTAAACGTCAAATTAAAAATAATTGTACAAGCCAAAGTACGGCTTTTTAAAGATTCTCAGAAATTGTATCTGTTTAGTCTATCGGTTTCAAAAAACTTTGACTACTTTTCAACCGCTTTGATGACCATGAATACCACTTCAAGCCACCACCGCTAGATGGCAAGTACCTTTATCTATAAATCCGCAAGTGACAAATTAAAGATAACTGTATAAGAAAATCGCGATACTAGAAAAATAAGACTGGTTGAAGTCATTATGTTATTTTTATAAAAAAATCAATCAAGAATTGATCTTTGTTTTCTAATTCTGACTAATTCTTTGTGTCGATTGTGAAATTTGAGAAATTTTTCAACCTCGAAATAGGTTTTCGGCCATCAAATTATTACAATCTGTCCCGCTAGATGGCGAGCACCCACGGAAGTAAATCCGCAAGTGACGAAGTGAAAATAATTGTATAAATCGGAGCACGGTTTTTTAAATTTCATTGACGCTATATGCAAAAAGTATAAGCCATCGAACGGCGCGAGCATTTCCACCAGAAAATTCGTCGATTACATCGTATCGCGTTTTGTCAAGCTCAAAGCTCCCTCCTATGTAATTACCGGAAGACGAACGTCCGATCGAATAAAAATCCCTCAAAAGTCTTATCCGCAATAGCCACCACACGCACGCACACGTATAAACGTGGGCTATCCAGCCCCAAATAATAATGTACTTTCGAACGCAAGCTCGAGTTTTAACGCACGAGCGAGCTTTATATACGGACGACTGTATATCCTTCCGGGGCTGTAAAATTGTGTCAAGTGTTGCCGAACCGCACCGAACGACCCGCTATATTCTTTATATATAATACATCCGTAAAACACGACGTCGACGACGACTGCGACTTGTACGTGGCCGATGCTAATCTCCCCCTCGGGTTTTCGAGCGATCGAATACGGCGGGCGCACAAATGCTAAAGGCTCGTTTGGAATCGCAGCAGCTGCACCACGTCGTCGTCGTCGTCGTATATTTAACGCCAAAATAGCGAATCGCATTTGAATTGGTAATCGAGTTGACGCGCGGGGGGTATACAACACATCACGGGGATCATCGTTTCGCGATCGGAATCGGCATCACGTGGCCTAGCTATAGTCTCTCTGTGCATCACATAAAGTAGAGCACATGGAAACGCCGCGCCGAATCAAAACAATCTATATCTCGCGCGCAGCTCTGATTTATTTCATTTTAATAATCGCGCGCGCGTCGAACCGAATTATTATTATAGCCGTGGATATTTCTACGCGCTGACGTATACTCGTACTCATTATACGATGATCATCTCGTCGAGAAATGAATAATTTTACATCGATGCTATTAAAGAAACGAAAATTGCGTTGTCGCGCGGGCGAATCTCGTTAAAAAGAAAAGATAAAGAAAACAATTAATCGTCGTCGCAGGAAGATCGAAAACGCGTCTTTTGCCGCTCGCTCATTAGCGCGTGCGTACGTAACGAATCGGAAGTAATACATATAGGGAGTATAGATGAGAAAGAAGTCGAGAAAGATAATCATCGATTCTCTCTCGGTCTCTATTTCCGCAATCTCTCTCTCATCCTCGAACGTAATGCCGAATTAATATATACGTATAAGTATATATCCGACTTATCTAATTCGGAGTGTGTGTTATAGTAGGCGTGCGGACGAACGAGCATACAAGGTACCGTATTAGCGCGCGCCGCAGTGCAAATGTACATAATAGCCCAGCTGTAGTTAGTAATAGTATGGAGCGCAACACGTTGTTTATGCCCGTAGAATTACGGTAATAATAACTTATTCGCGTGCTTTGGTACGAACGTCTACATTATCATCGATGCGATATGAATCATAATATGTAATCTTCCTCTTGTGTATTTAGTACCTTATTAGCCGGGTATTAGTTAATTCGACGCGCGTATATACGATTTACGAGGTGTATGGATATATAAACGCCGAAAAGTCTCGTTTCTTTTTGCGCTGAATATGTATATTCGAGACGAGATCGAGCTTTTTTTCTCTATCGCTATACCAGGAAAAGAATATATTATAAATTCGACATTACGAGATAAGCGAGTAATCGTTTTGCGGATTGTGCTATAATCTCTCTGCCTTCGCGTATATAATAATATTCAAATTATCATCGCTGCGAGCAGAGAGAGAGAGAGAGAACATTGTAAAGCGATCGAGTGCGTATAAAAGAGGCGCTGATTCGAAATGTTTTATCGCTTTCTTTCTTTCTCTTTCTTTCTTGACGACGACGCGGTACAAGAGAAGATAATGTCTACAGATACATATTATACGCGTTCGAGATGTATAAGCCGGGCGGCTGTTTTTATCAGCCTCTCGCTTCGTATATATGTGTTTTTGTCCGAAGTACGAGTTTTGTTGTAAAAAAGCTTTTTCAATTTGGAGCACGAATTTTTTTATACACAGTGGTAAAGTGTGTATATAATATAACAATCGATCGCAATGGAAAAAGTTCGAGGCGACAACCACGATAGGGTGTAATATAAATTATTATTATCAATCGAGAGTACATACGGAGACGCTACATTAATGCGTGAATCAATAAACGTCGATCGCATTATATACATGTTGAAAGGGAAATAAATGTAAAATCATGTTGCCGAGAACGATACCGTACAACTCTGTATAAAGTGGCGCAAGAAAAAAAGCTCTTCCTCCGCAATTGTACAGCAGCAGCGAAACGGAGAGCGATACTCGAGTATCGTACACCCACTGCTACACACACAAAGTTAGTGTACACAAAAATCAATTAAACGTCGAGAAGTAGCGGTATCTCGATCTCGTTTGCCTCTCTGCCTCCTCGTCCTATGGGCGTTTTTCCGCCGATTTATGTATATAAAAGCTTGCACCACCACCACCACCGTCTATAATTTCTTTTCACGCTTCGCAGAGTCATAATACGAAAAGAATGCGTGTAGTATAAAGTCAGCGACGTGCTGCTGCTGCTGCTGCTGCGGGGGCGAGCTCGAGAGAGAGAAGACTCCTGCCGCCGTCGTCGAGAAATTATGTACACGAGACTGCTGCTCTTCTCTACTACGCTCTCTTCGCTCAATTTGCCTGCCTATTTACGTTTGGCCTTTTTTTTTTGCTCCTTCGAGACGACGCCTGCACAGCGAGAGAGAGAGAGAGAAAGCACATGCTCTCTTTCTTCTTCCCTTGCCCTTTCTTATATATATTTTTTTTCATCGACTCGTTTCCTTACATCCTTCTTTATTTAGCGCGATAGGAAGCTCTCGACACAGGGGGGTCCCCCGATGATGCTTTTATTCGCTGATTTTACAAGCTGCTCTCTCGCTCTCGGTATTTTTTAGTGGCTCCTCGCGCTAAAGAGTTTGAGAAGCTTTTAGAGAATGGAAAATGTACATAGCGTACGTTTTTTTTTGCGTTGCCAGTCGCGCGCACGGAGAGAGAATTTTAAAAAGTCAAGACGACGACGACACTCGATTAGGCTTTGTAATTAAAGGAATTAGCGTCCGCCGGGGTGACGTGATACTTTTTTTTTTGCTTTAATGAATTTATGATTGTGCTGGAATGATTATTCGAAAGTAATGGAAATTTGTGTTTAGAAAAGCCGGAAAAGTTGTATTTTATGAACGATAAAATACAAGGATGAGCTTGAGATAGAAAGTCCAAGAAGATGATGTACAGATTTTTACAATATAGCGTGTAAGTAAGCAAATATGGTTGTTAATTTTTAAATTCTTAACGAATCTTTAGATCTTAAAATTATAAATATAGTGTCACAGGGTACCAAGTGGACTTTTATACCTGTTTATTACTATGATACATTATTATTATGTAGGTGAGAAGATGCGCACGCAACGGACATGTATACAGTGACTCTAATGGAAAGCATATACACAGAAAAGCTGCATGTATAGATCGCGAGAAAACATCGACAGAAAAGGTTGCATTTCAATAATGCCACGGACGAGCCTTTAACATATCATTAATAACATTGTAAGAGATCGGATATTTTATCATTCGAACCCTAAAACGTTGTATCACGATTACGATCGGATCAAAATGTGGCAGGTATAATCGCGAGCTCTACTCGTGTGTTGTTGTTGTCGTTACCTTGTCTGCTAGAGGTTAGGATCCTGCGTTGTTGTTGTCGTCGTATTGTCTTTCAGCACTGTGCAATAAACTCAATCGGAGAACGAACGACGACGACAAACTTATAAATGCACGTGGCCTCTGTCCATGCGTGTCTGTGTGTGTGTGTCAATCCAAGCCGAACTCCGAAATCGAACTGTTACTCGGCTGCAACTTTTTGACAGCTATTCGAGTGTATATCGGGAACACTCAAATACGTTCGGGAGTCCCGTGTATCGCGCGACTCGCCGAAGAGACTAACACGTCGTTTCGCGTGTATGTGTTAAATGTAATGCATAAGTAGAGCCTCCCCCCGCGAGAAAGAGATGGAAAAAAGAATCACAGTTATACGCGTGTATGGGTATGATGAAGTTTACTAAAAAGACGAGAAAATAGCAGTGACGGTCAGTCAACGAGGAGAAAGCGATAGATATGGAGTGAATTCGCGCACGCAATCGTCGGGCTCTGCTGCCACCTATCGCGCTATAATGCTGTATGTGGATTGCAGATTCCTACCTCGTGTCGGTAAACTATCCTACATATATGTATGTATTATACGGAGCTGTGAGCTTCGTTATAGAGATCGCGACGACGACTACTATGCGAAGGGGGAAAGGCTTTTTAATTGGTACATCAATACTTTTGCCTGGCCAAGAAGAGCTGCCGCCGCTGTACACTCTGTATAGCGATTCACGGGCGCGTCTCGCAGAGAGACTCGAACTGCTCCTAAAAGTTATATATATATATACATACGCTGTGTCTGGGTCGAGCTTTTTTTCTGGCTCTTTTAGTCGACAACGTAGGTAATACTACAAGCCGTGCCGGTGACGCGCGATATATGCAATTCTGCTCTACGGGAGCATTGAAGTCTCCTTTCCTTGTAAGAAAGACGACGACGACGCGTATATGCGTTATATCGTATGCTCTCTTTCGTGAATACAAGGAGGCGAGAGCTCGATGCGAGAGCAAACGAAAACGTGCGCGATAATTTCGCGCGCGTCGTGCGGTGAATTCAACTGGAGTATAAGACTCGGCGCGCGAGGCTCGTTATTAGCCGCATTGAAGTCGAAATGCAAGCGATTGTTTCAAGACTGTCTGTATATACACTTGATTAAATTTTGTTTGTTTAATAATCCGTGTGTATTCATTCGCACGTTGATCGCGCGGTCATAGCCATCCGCAATTAGTTACGATGGAGATGCAGCTTTATCAATGCGACTCGATCGCGCAGGAAAATTGCTCCATTCGAATAGGCGGCAATTTTCTTGCAATAATTTTATACATCGTATTCTCTCTGGCTGGCGAGGGCAAACCGAGCGAGGGAAAGAGAGCGACGTCGCACAGAGATTGAACCTTTGTATAATAGTTAGCCATTTACGCGTACGTACATACACCGCCGAACGTTGCGCAATTAGTCTTTCCGCTTTTCGAACTCGCTCTTGGATATAAAGCTCGGAGTCTCGACTCGAAGCTCTATACAGCTCAAAGTGTGGGTGTCTGACTCTGTCTGGGCGCGCGAGCTTACAGCGAGACTCGATCGCGAGAGCGGTGGTGTATATAGGATTTTGCCCGAGAAAAAAGGGAAAAAGAAACAAAAAAGGCAACGGAGAAATGAACTTGCTGCTGCTGTGCTGCCGTTGAGGGGGAGGGAGGCAATTATACACAGCGAAGGAAACGGTCGTCGTTGGCGCGTCAGCGAGTCGCAGTCGGCGATCGATATCTCGTTCGGCTAGCGCTGGTCCAGCTGCCATGCTCGAACTCGAACGCAGTACGATATTTAAAAAAAAAAAAAACAAAAAAAAACGCGCAGCTCTCTTTTAATTATCGTACGTATAAAGCTTGTGTCAATTCGATGCTCGTATAAAGATCGAGAGCAGTGCTAAAAAGTGCGTCGCGTGTGATTGATTCGGACTCGAGTTTTCGACTCTTTGAATCCCAACGGAGGCTGGGTGTAAGGGTCCGCAGTGCACAATCTCGCACAATTCAATGATCGCGCACCACCAGCACCAGTTGTATACGACGGTACAGTACGCATATGGATATTGATATGTAAATTCATCGGTGCGTGCCCAGTGCGTACACATACTATACTTACACACGGAAGAACGAGCAAATCGAAAGATATGGGCGCGATGCGGCAGATAAGCACATGAAAATTGTAGATATCTCGTACCGCATATACTGCACTTGCTCTCTGTATTGGATGTATATATAATAATTAACGTATACACGAATCTCCAACTCCGTAGCTCTTTCGCTCGTAGACGTCCGGGGGAGGTGTGTGCGTGCGAGGGCAATCGTCTCGTAATCGCGCACTTCCTCGTGTGATTCGAGCTGGAAACTGTCCATTTGACGACGATGTATATTATAATATAGAACTCGACGAAAGGGATGATGCGGCCTCTGGGCGACAACGTCGACTACGACGTCATGCATTATTCAAAAATATTATACATATAGATGTGTACGATTGCGAGCGTTGTCCTCCGCACTCAGACCTGTATTATAGTGGTAGTAAGTGCGCGTTGGTAAGCTCCACGCGGAGAAGAGTTGGGAAACAATTCGCGTCGCGCATCATCGTCCTTCGTCGTCGACGTCCTATAGCAGCCTTGGCATGCCAAGTCTCGCACTTTGTCTCTCGCTCTTATAATGTATACTATATATATAGCTCGTCGGTGTGGTGCGGTATAGGATATACACGGTGTTCCCCTTTTAGCATCGCTGGGGAGCTGTGCTCTCTCTCTCTCTCTAGGCGTTGGGGGGTGGTTGCTCGCGAGCTCGCAGCAGCCTAACCCTCTCGAAAGGGCTGAGAAGCAGCAGCAGCAGCAGCGTTGGCATTCTCCCCCACGACGACGATGTTTCTCTCTGTCTATATGTTATATGTATGTGTGTGTGTCGTGCGACGAGCCTTCGCGCTTATGTACATTTAGCTGTTGTAACGCAGAGCAGAGAGAGAAGAGAGAAACGAGGAAGGACGCGCAGCACTGGCAGCTCTCCCCGCATGATTCCAAACATTCAAAACCGAGAGCCACAGCCGCCGCCGCCGCGTGCGCCCGTATATACGCGTATTATATTTCTCAACCCTTTCACTCTCGCTTCGACTCGACTGCTTCGCTTCGCTCCCGCGCTGCTTGCAGGCTCTCTCGCCGAGAGAAATTACTATATATATAAATGCGCGGGGGAGAGAAAAAAAAAAGCTCGCACGTATATAAGGGGGTATATAGCGATCGATTATATCCGTATAAATACGGCCGTCGGTCATGCAGATCGTTGCACCTGTGTATAGTCGTGTTTAAATGCCCATGCGAATATCGCGTAGTACCTCCTCCATATATATATGGATCGCGGAGCACGAGCTGCGCTATGCACTATATACGTATAACGTAGGAGCTGATAAAGCACATGCGCCGCGAGCTGTACGAGCGACAGCGTTATATAGAGCGAGAAAGAGAGAGAGAGAGTGAGTGAGCGAGGGAGGGTATAGAGAGTCGAGCGGGAGGTCGCGGGAGGTAGCTGCTGCTGCTCGCGTCGCACAGTACACAGCCGAGAAATAAAAAAAATACCGCTGCCACTGCTGCTGCTGCTAGCTCGGATTTGCGCGACGCGAGCGGGTTAGAAAAAGGGGGAGGGAGAGAGAGAGAGCAGTGGATCGCGATCGTGTGCCCAACTGCTGCTGCTTTTGCCTCTTCTTCTTCTTCTTCTTTCTCCGCTGACGAGCAGCTACGTCATCGCCGTCGTCGTCGACGTCGACCACCACCTCTTGGCTCGGAGGAATCACCTCTTCTTCGTTGTTGTCGTAGTAGATGTTAAATTCCGCAAGCACAGCCTCTCCCGTACTTAATAGTATAGTGGCAGCGCAGTGGTATAGTGGTAGTGCGCTCGTGTGTTTACGTCGCTCGCGCGAGCTTTGCGCGCGTCCAAGTGTTCGGTGCAGTGTGTAGTGTGTAGTGTGTGTGTGTGTGTATGTATCTGTGTGTGTGTATTTTTATATATACGACGAATTGGAGCTTCGCGCGCTACGCCGTGACGTGGCTGCAGCCGACGCGAGCAGTCCACTAAGCAGTGTCTCTCCAGTTATATTTTCATCAAAGGGTTACGGAGCCCCCGAGCCATCGAAAGCTCCGACACTCGGTACGAGGCGGCTCCGCACTCGACTTTTGCATCTCAGCTTTCTCCTTGATGCTGCTGACGACGACACCGCGCGTAAGCAGCAAAAGTAGCAGCAGTCTACGCAGCTACGCTATAAGTGCTGGTGGTGGTAGTAGTGGCGGCGGCCAGACTAGCAGACGACAAAAGCTCGGGCCGCAAGCGCCGCCGCCGCAGCGACGAAAACTGAGCCGAGTCAGCGCCCGCCACGCCAGTAACAATAACAACAATAACGTCAACAACGACGAGTTGGAAAAGCCAAAGAAGACGATGGCCTCTTCCACGTCGTCCTCGTCATCCTCCGGTCGTCCCTACAATTTGAGACTGAGAGGTGAGTTTGATTATATATATACAGCTATATGGTGTATTTGATGATATAAATGGAATGTATACGGGTCGATACACCTGCGTGTTATTTTTGGTTTTTATTTTACTCGATGTAATCGCTTTCTTTTACGAGCTAAGCGTGACAATTAGCCTTTACTGCGGCGACAATAACCGAATGACAAAAGTTTATTATATACATAGGATACATCGGAGTCAGGCGAGCTTACGTGCGCGCGTTGCGATCGCTGCACTCCATAATAATATACATATTATATACATCAGGAAGCTGAATCATATCTCTGCCGTTTTCGAGCTCGATGGCCGAAGGGGATCTCCCTCTCTCTCTTTCTCTTCGCAGACGCCCGAATTTAATGTATATCTGCGCGCGCGAGCTTGACTCGGAAAAAATTTGCGATACGAATTTGCAAAGCGCACATGGCCCCTGGGCTGGAGCCTCCGGTCTCGCTTTCTTTCTCCGTACTTCGTTCCAGTCCCTGACAGTATAAAACACAAGTACAGAGCGCGCGGAGACACTTTTAGCCCGTGTATATATAGTCGCGAAAGACACGAAGAAGAAGAAGAAGAAGAGAGAGAATCGATGGGTAAAAAAAAAAAATTCGTGAGCTCCGCGAACTAATACGTCGACAGAGAGGCAAAAAAAAGTCAATGCGCCTCGACGACAGACGACCGACCGACTCTTGGTTGGCAGCTGGAATGATCGCGGATGGATGGATGGCTGGCTGCGCCTTCTGGGAAATTGAGACGGAGGCAGCTTCATATATATATATATACCAGTGCGCGCGCCTGGACCTAGTTACGATATTGTTATATGGCGATTCCGAGGATCGCGTCGATGGATACGTGTGTGGACCGGTTGAGGAGCGCCCAAACTCTACTCTCGGAATTCGGCTTCGAGCCTGCATAGCGCCTAATCGCATCCAAGTCTCTCACGCATACCTCAGTCAAAAACTCAGCTTCGAGTACATCATTGTGTCTGATTTTTAACTATATCGGCAGTTTTCCCCGTTTATTCGGCACCACGAGAGAGAGAGACATTAACGACGGTTGCTGATAAAGAAAAAACCTCGATAGCCTATTATGCGCGAGATACGTTATATACAGTCCACCTATACATGTACGCAACATCATGGCAAAACATCGATCCATATAGCTCTCGTATATAGCAGTAGTGCGCGCACACCTCGACGCGCTCCGTGACTGCAGCAGCAGCAGCTCACGATCAGAGGGTCGTGCGCCGCGCGCGCGACTTTACGAGGCTTTTAAAAAAGCCGCACACTGCACGACAGGCGACAAACGCACGAAATTCACTATTTAATGGCATTAGGTCGAGACATCGCGCGCACACGGCTGATGGACGTTTATTGATTTTTTTATTTTAGAGTTTTTTTTTTTTAATTGTTTGCCGGAAAAAATGGGGTAGGTTTATTATTGTACGTACACGACGAACGAATCAATTTTATGCGCGAGGGACGATTCTCACGTTTGTACATTAAGACGTTTTTAATCGTTTCCTCGTATTACACCAGCGCTGTTCTTCGTTTTGTATATACGCGCTCATAAATTTTAGAAAATTGACTTTTTGCGAGCGTCATACGAGGGAGAAATGAATACGAGGAAATCGATGCCTAAGAATTGATTTTTTGCCAATTAGATTTAGCGAAATCAATCAACGCTTTATTATTATAATTATGAGAGAAGAGCCCACTCGAGATGGCCGTTTAATTAATCTGTTTTTCCATTCTTCCGACGTGCGCGTGCTTACGATGCGTTACAATAAAATTCACTGCTGCTGCTGCTGCTGTCTTAATATCCGACGATACTCCATGGAATACATATATGTATAATACGAGCACAATAGGCCGCCTCGAGGAACAATACAAGTACGAGGCGGCAAAAATGAGCCGAAAAAATTAAGGGAAGCTCGAGGAAAAGAGATGGGGCACACTTGTATTACTCATTCAGCGAGATATTGGCTGGGCGCGCGCGAAGCACACGAGGGCCGCCGATAAGACGTGGCGTTTCCCCGAGATATTATTACTTATAATATAGCTGCGAAACACGACGGGGAACAGATTAAGCATCTCTCTCTCTCTCGTTCGCGGCTAAATAAGTAATGCCGTTGTGAAAAGCGTAATCGTCCTTACGATAAAAGAAGAAAATAAGAGCGCAGAACTAAGATTGATTATTCATGCCGCGAACGAGGATACCGGCAATAGGTTAAACGCCGTTGTATTGTATGGGAAATTAGCGCGAACATGAGCGATAATGAATTACTTACTGCCCGTACGTTTGCTCTTCTTTGTATATAGTTAATGCCGCTCCTCTTGGAAGAATAGAAAAATCCTCGATATCAATGCGGTAAACAGTGCCTAAATGACCGTTCACTTTTATATTATTTTACGTAGGAATTTTTCATGAAACTAATATGACTACTTTTTCGCTTTGGAACATCGAATACCAATGGAAAATTCAGTAGGGCTTTTTAAAAAAATGACAATTAAATGATGTTAGTTTTGTGGAAGTCTGAGTCATTATTTATGTATTTTATCATATTCGACTCGAAAATCATAAAATTGAGGAGAAAATGTTAAAGAATAAGAAAAATTCAATAATTCACGGAAAACGTGTAAATTTTTTCAAAACTATTCATACTACTTGAGTAGTTTGGGATTTGGAACAGATTTTTTGTAATTATAAATAGTTGAAAAAAATTTCATTCAAGATGTGTTGTTATTACGTGTTAGTTTATTTGTAAAAGATTCGGTTTTTCATAGTCTTGAACGAATTCATAACATCACATTCGAAGGATTTAATCTGATCATGTAGTGCATTTATGTATTTTTTGAGGGAACCCTTTTCTCCAACGGACTTGTGACAGATCTCACATTCGAAACGTTTTTTATGATCATGTACTGATCTTATGTGAACATTGAGGTGACCTTTTCGTCCAAATGATTATCGACAAATGTCACATTTGAAAGGTTTGCTCCGATTATGTACTGCATTTATGTAAATTTGGAGGGTTCCTTTTTCTCCGAATGATTTGTGACAAATCTCACATTCAAAAGGGTTTGATACCATCATGTACTTTATTTATGTGTCTATTAAGCTGTTGTTTTTGCCCAAATGAATTGTGACAAATGTCACATTCATAGTTTTTGATAAATCAGGTACTGTTATAATATGCCTTTTAAGGTTACTTTTTTCTCCAAATAATTAATGAAAAATGTTTCATTCGAGTGGTTGGCGAGTATTATGAACTGTATTTATGTGAACGTTGAGGTAACTTTTTCGTGCAAATGATTTCTGACAAATTTTGCACTCAATGGGTTTATTATGTACTCCATTTATGTGATCTTTGAGCGTATGTTTATATCCAAATGATTTATGACAAATCTCACACTCGAAAGGTTTGCTCTGATTATGTACTGCATTTATGTGAATTTTGAGGGTTCCTTTTTGTCCAAATGATTTGTGACAAATCTCACATTCAAACGATTTGCTACGATTATGTAATGCATTTATGTGTCCATCGAGTACACTCTTGTATCCAAATGATTTATGGCAAATCTCACATTCAAAAGGTTTGATTCGATCGTGTACAGATTTTATGTGAACATTGAAATTACTGCGGTGTCCAAATGATTTGCGACAAATGTCACATTCGAAGAGATTGCTTGGATTATGTACTGCATTTATGTGCTTTTTCAGATCATACTTGTGTCCAAATGTTTTAGGGCGAATCTTACATTCGAAGGGTTTGGTCCGATTATGTACTGTATTTATGTGAATTTTGAGGGTTCCTTTTTGTCCAAATGATTTGTGACAAATCTCACACTCGTGAGGTTTGATACGATCATGTACTGTACTTGTGTGAGTTACAAGACTTTGTTTTTGTCCAAACGATTTGTGACATATTTCACACTCGAAGGGTTTTTTCCCATCGTGTACTGAATATATGTGATATTTAAGGTTACTTTTTTGTCCAAATGATTTGTGACAAATATCACATTCGAGAGGTTTGCTGCTATTATGTACTGAATTTATGTGAGTTTTAAAATGATCTTTGCGTCCATATGACTTGTGACATATCTCACACTCGAAAGGTTTGCTCTGATTATGTACTGCATTTATGTGAATTTTGAGGGTTCCTTTTTGTCCAAATGATTTGTGACAAATCTCACACTCGTGAGGTTTGATACGACCATGTACTGTACTTGTGTGAGTTACAAGACTTTGTTTTTGTCTAAACGATTTGTGACATATTTCACATTCGAAGGGTTTTTTCCCATCATGTACACCATTTATGTGTTGCCTGAGGTTACCCTTTTCTCCAAACGATTTGTGACAAATCTCACATTCAAAGGGTTGAATCCGATTATGTACTGATCTTATGTGTTTATTGAGGTCACTCTTGCGACCAAATGATTTGTGACATATCTCACACTCGAAAGTTTTGCTCCTATTATGTACAGCATTTATGTGATAATTGAGGTGACTTTTTTGTCCAAACGATTCCTTACAAATTTCACACTCACCCTGTCTAGATTCGTAAAATATCGTATTAATCCTTTTCTTCAACCTTGATTTAGCTATACAAGTTTCTCGACTTATGTTCGAATTATACGATGATTTTTCATCGACAATTTTATCAAAACTTTCTAGATTCTCATATTCTTTTTTTATCGGTACTATACGACTTTTTTCATTCGTGCAATTGTTCAGTTTTTGGTTTTCTTTTTTCCCAACAGGTTGAAAATTGTTATATTCTGATTTGCAAGTAGTTGTCGAAAAATATGGCAGTTCAAGTTTTACATCTTTGCATTCATAATCAATCAATATATTGTCATTGGAGTCATCTGGCTTATTTTCACCTTCCTCTTTTACAACTGATTGAACATTTTGATACTCAGATTTACAGACGGTTTTTGATAGAGACGGCACTTCCAGTTTGACATCTTTGCACTCAAAATCTATAAATAT